CTACCTTCCTCGTTTGCCTGCTGGAGAGAAAGAAGGGCTGGCAGGAGCCATGGCAGCAGGCATCTAAGGTGAGTGCCATGCAGGTGTTCTGTACTGTAACCTCTGTCTAGAAATGTCCTGGCGGGCTGCCAAGCCTCCATCTTCCTTCTCTCCTCCACCCAGTGCCTCCAAGAGAAGAACTTGAAGGATTTTTTTTTCTTATTAGTATTTTTTTCGTTAGCATACAAAGTAATGGGTTTCATTGTGGGCTTTGCACACATATATCATTGTATTTTATTTTTATTTGCTTTCCTGTCCTCACCTGACCTCTACTCCTCAGAGGAACTTCTTGGGACTTTCTACTTCAGGCTTTACACCAGGAGAGATGGGAAGAAGGGCAGTGAGGGGTGGGATTGAGTGTGAGAGGGAGACTGGCACATGTAATCCCTAGAGCTCTGATCCAAACTTAGAGATGTCAGGGCTGTGGTGTGTGCCCTTGTTGCTAGGGCTTGTTCTTGGACCTGTAGTTTATACTGTCTGTTTGGAACTTCCTGGAGACTGAGAAGTGCATGCGGGGGCCTTCTCCCATGCTCTCCTCCAGTCCTAGCCCGCGTAGGCAGCAGCGGAGGACACAAACAGGGTAGGGAATCGATGGAAAGAGTCAGGCTCTTGGACCTTGCTGGGGTGGGGCAATGGGAGGGAGGCTGAGTGGAGGCCTGGAGGAAGGCTCCCTTTTGTGGCTTTTTGTGGTTCTTTGTCCCAGCAGTTCCTAGAGAGGACCAGGACACACAGTGGGTATGGGAGAGGCATAGCTGTTTACAATTCCCAACAGAAACCAGACCTTTAAGTCCCGCCCTAGCTGGAAGACGGGCACTCAGACAGCCATGTCCTCTGTGAGGACCCCTTCCCAGAAGAGAGGTGCCTCTGTGGTTGCACTTAGATGAGATCTTCGGGTTTTTCTTTTTTCTTTTCTCTTAAATTTGGTGAAGGGCTCAGGGAATGCTTTGGAAAAGGTAGTGGGGGCTGAGGAGCAGCTCGGTGTACTGTGTAAACAAACTCACTGGTTAAAGCGCCCACGCACGCACGCACGCACGCACGCACACAGACACCATCTCCAGGCAGTTGTATGATATAGTTCACAGACAGCGGACGGTTAGCCCCACTCCGCAACCTGGGAGCGCATAACTTAGGGAAAGGATGGCAAGATGTCCAGAGTTTGACAGCTGGCTTGGGAAAAAGCCATGTGATACCATTGCTCCCCACCACCTCTAGGGACTTTCATGCAAAGGAGATGGGAGGCTGGCCAACTGCTCTATGTTCAAACAATTTTCCTTCCACCCTGTATCCCCTCTGAAGCCAGAGGTTGGCTTGGAAACTTTTCAGACACTGTGACAGATGGCATCTCACTTAGAGTGTCCCCTGTTGACAGGGTCTGGCTCCAATCATAACTGTATCTGTCCAGGGATCTGCCTGTCTGCTCTGCTCCTGCAGCCTACCTCCTTCTCCATGTCTGGGTCCTCTGAGGGCTGCCAGGCTTAGGCCTTTGGGATAGCAGCTGCCAAACAGGGTAGGATTCCCATGTTCTGGCTGGAAGATGCTTGGCCCTGGGATATCCCAGGAGTATTCTGACTGCAGAATCCTGACTGGTTCCTCCAACCACTGCAACAGCCAGAGCTGGCTCACATGGGCACACCAATGCTCTCTCATTTGGATCTGAGAATGCAGCTGCCTTGTGGGAACCCCTTGGGACTTTGGTGGCTTTACCAGGTGGTTTTGTCAGCTGCAGTATGGGGGATGAACTTTGCTCTTCTAGCTTCTGGGTCAGAGGGTAAAGACTTGATGGCAACTGACAGCTGGACAGATACCCACTGGCTTAATTTGGGGGAGCTTCCGGAAGAACTCTTTAGTGCGTTTCTGGCTAGTCTTGGACAAAGAATTTTCTAGCTAGGCAGACCAGGTGATGTGGGGGCTTTAATTTCAGCTACTCAGAAGGCTAAGGTAGAAGTATCCGAAGTTCAAGATCAGCCTGCTCAGCTGAGACATTGCCTCAAAACTAGGAAACAAGCCTGGCGTTGGTGTGGTTCATGCTCTTAATCCCAGCACTCAGGAGGCAAAGGCAGGTAGATTTGAGTTCGAGGCCAGCCTGGTCTACAGAATTCCAGGACAACTAGGGCTACACAGTGGAACCCTATCTTGAGAAACAAACAAAAACACCGCCCCCCACGCAAAAAAAAAAAAAAAAAACCAACTATGAAACAAAGAGAAGGCTGAGGACAAAGCTTAGCAGTGGACTTCCCTCTCATATGTGAAGCCCTGGGTTCCATCTGTACTGAAAAGAGAAGAAAGCAATGAGGAAAGAGAGGAGGAAGGCTGCCTCCAGGCCAGAGGTTGTCAAGTTCATAAGTGAAGTGCAGCCTACCGGCAGGTTTTTTATTTTTTTTTTTAAATATTTATTTGCTATGTATATACAGTGTTCTGCCTGCACACCAGAAGAGGGCACCAGATCTCATTACAGATGGCTGTGAGCCACTGTGTGGTTGCTAGAAATTGAACCTGGGACCTCTGGAAGAGCTGGCAGTGCTTTTAACCTTTGAGCCGTCTCTCCAGCCCCATACTGTCTTTACAAACAAAATTTTATTGGCACACACTGGTTATGTATCATGTATGCTGTTTTCACTCAATAGTAGAGGTCATATAACCTGCAAAATCTAAAATATTTACTCTCTGGTTCTTTACATAAAGAGTTGACAGACCCTTGCTCTATCTAATCTTGTTTCTTGAGGTTCATGTCCAGAGGGGCCTTTGCAGTAAGTGGACACCGCTGGCCTAGCTGGTATGCGGTGGTGTGCAGAGTGCCTGAGAACCCCTTACAGAGCTAAAGGCCTGCTTAGCTCAAGTGGAGCCAAGCTATTTGCTGACCTGTTGTTCTCTCCTCCACATGGTCTGCTTTAGGTCTGCCTCAACATGGCCAACAAGGGTCCATCCTATGGCATGAGCCGTGAAGTGCAGTCCAAAATCGAGAAGAAGTATGATGAGGAGCTGGAGGAGCGACTAGTGGAGTGGATTGTAATGCAGTGTGGTCCTGATGTGGGCCGCCCAGATCGTGGGCGCCTGGGCTTCCAGGTGTGGCTGAAGAATGGCGTGGTGAGTGGCACCTTGTGAAGGGGTCTGGGGATGTGTTGTGCCACCCTGCAAGCTGTGGGGCAGACCCTGAGCTGAGTATCCAGCTGTGTTCTGTGCCTGGCAGATTCTGAGCAAGCTGGTGAACAGCCTGTATCCTGATGGATCCAAGCCAGTTAAAGTGCCTGAGAATCCGCCTTCCATGGTCTTCAAGCAGATGGAGCAGGTGGCTCAATTCTTAAAGGCAGCTGAGGACTATGGAGTCACCAAGACTGACATGTTCCAGACTGTTGACCTCTTTGAAGGTACAGAGGAAAATGGGCTGGAGCCAGTGGGCTAGTGGTGAGCAAGAATCTCAGGCAGGGAGAGGGAATATCAAAAGAAGCCACAACCAGCTCTGTTGATGTGTGCATAGCAGGAACAAGCTATGCCAAGAGAGCACACAACAGGGGCAGCAGCCTGGAGGTACAGCATTTTCCTAATATGCACAAGGGCCTGTGCTGGATCCTAGAACTGTACACATATAAAAAACATACCACACCACACTCACGAGGGTCTCCTGAAATCTCTTTGATTTGGGGGCACTTGCTGTTGGTTTGACCATTTTTGTGTCAGGGGCAGATTTTGCCTATATGGTCCTGAGGTCCTGAAGTTGGTTCCCTGGCCACTCTTCTCACAGGCAAAGACATGGCAGCAGTGCAGAGGACTCTAATGGCTTTGGGCAGCTTGGCTGTGACCAAGAACGATGGACACTATCGTGGAGATCCCAACTGGTTTATGAAGTATGTGGTCACTGGTTCCCTGTTCCTAAGCTTGGGTCCCTTTGTGAGGTGGAGGTGGTTTGGGCTGGTCAGCCATGATAAAGATAAGGTCCAGCAGAGCCAGGAAGGTCCCAAGTAAGGCCCTGGACTGGGGGAAATGGGGTCTTACTTCTGAACTCCTGCCCTTTACCAGCATGAACTCTAGCAGACTCCCTAACTCCTACCACCAGCCAAACTCAGGAAAGACAGAAAAAAAAAAGGAAGGGAATGGGGCTGAACTATGAAGTGAGAGGGATCAGAAGACTGTTGGAGAACACCAAGTTCTAGGAAGTCTGATCCTGGTTCCTCTCTTCTAGGAAAGCCCAGGAGCATAAGAGGGAGTTCACGGAGAGTCAACTGCAGGAGGGGAAGCACGTCATTGGCCTTCAGATGGGCAGCAACAGAGGTGCCTCACAGGCTGGCATGACAGGCTATGGACGACCCCGGCAGATCATCAGTTAGAAGGGAAGGCCAGCCCCGAGCCTGCCTTTCCCAGATACCTGGCTGCAGCGTCCTGCAGCGTCCTGCTTAGCCTGCCACATCCACACCTATGTAGGTTCTTAGCCCTGACAGCTTCGAGGCTGTCACTGGGCAAAGATGTCTGCACATGGGAACCCCCACCTCTCCCCAGCCTCAGCCCAGCTTCTTACCGCAGAGCCACCACCCCTGGCCCCTGCTCCCAGCTGCACCCCCACCTCCACTGTCTCTCCCATCCTGGAGTACGCAGGGAGAAGTGGGCTGGGGTAGCCTGGGTGTTGGCCAGCTGCCCACTGTCCTTGGTAGCAAATGCCATCTGAAGGAGACCCAGCCCAGCCTCTCCGTCTTTTCCTGGAATATTTTTTGGGTTGAATTTCAAAAATGAAAAAAAATATATATAGACATCCATCTTTTCTCAGGCCTGGCTGGCAGTGTGATTCATTTAGTCTCTCCTGTTTCTATTCCAGGAAACTAGAGCAGGGGGCAAGGGGCCCTGCACCAGGGGTTCATTTGTTCCTGACCACTGTCTTCTGGATGACTTTTCAGGCCCCACAGACCCAGAAGTTCAGAGGAAGTGGGCTGTGGGGAACAGGAGTGATCTGCCACCTGCAACAGCTTTGGGGAGGCAGAAGGGAGGAAAAGTGGGAAGAGTGGAACTGTTTGGATTTTTTTTTATACTTCTGGTTTTTATTTTGGAAAAGCTGTGCAGAAAAAAATTCAACAAAATGTTGCTGTGAAAAGTAAAAATCAAATCTTAAGCATTAAAAAATTCAGATCAACAATTAGCTCAGAAGAGGGGAAGGGGAAGGCCAAGAATGGAGGAAAAGTCAGGCAGACAGCTGGCCTCAGGAACGAAGGCCATTTCCCTGAGCACTTTGCAGAGGAAGACAGGGTGGTCACAGGCAGTGGCTCCCAAGCTGTCTTTCTGACAACACTAGTGTCAGCTCTCTGCAGTCCTATTGGACAACTTCCCCAACGAGGCAGCAGGGGTGCTGGGACTCCCGTCTCCCAGGAGCTTCACCATTCCTTCAGCAGGAAGGGAGCGGTGCGAAGGAGACGGGGGGGGGGGGGGGGGGGGGGGGGGGGGGGGGGGGGGGGGGGGGGGGGGGGGGGGGGGGGGGGGGGGGGGGGGCAGGCTTGAGGTTGGCTTCGGACCAGGCGCACAGCCAAGGGTAATGAAGGCAGCTTCTCTCAGGCATGTCCTGGCTCTTGCCAGCCTCTCCTCTGGGCCCTCTGTATAGTGACACTTCTATTGAGAGTGGTCCTGGATACACAGGCACCTGTATAACTCACGAATGGGTGGAGATCCTGGTGGCCTAGGTCATTGACCAGCCTCAGAGGGGTGAGATCAAGGGCTGCCTGATGTGGGTGCCAAGGCTCATCAGCAAAGTCCTCTACCACTGCTCTTGATGGCCCTCACCCTCCTGAGAAAACCAAGAATGCTTCAGAGGTCTTGGGTTCCAGATGTCACTACCTGGACCATTTCTCTCCTGAGCATCCATGACTGGAAGCCTCATCACCAATTTTAGAAAGAGCCTGTTGCACATGGAGGACTCTGGGCCCTGGGGTCAGCAGATCTGTCCATCCTTCCCCTGGAGCAGGTCTGGGGGCTGGTACTGAGGACAGTCCTGGACAATCTTACTGCTCTGGGACAGGTTCCAGTCCCCTTCACCGAGCAGCTCTGGGGCCAGGAAGCCAGAGGTGGCAGCGCAGCTCCCGTTCTCTGAATCCACTCCATCCTGGTCCTTGCTGTTGCATAGAGGCACTGATTCTAGTTCTGTCCCCACCTCCCTGGAGCTCTGGCTCTGTTGGGGCCGGGAGCAGTGTCCACTCCTGCAACCTTGGATGGAAGCCATGTTCCTCTGGCTCAAGTATACTTCTAGCATGTAATAAATGGTCCAGAAGACAGTGAAGCAGCCCACCAGCACCAGGGTCTAGGAAAAAGCCAAACATTGACAGTGTCAGCAATAGGCTCTAGCCCAGAAGCATGAACCCGGGGAGTCTCTCACTTCTAGAACCCTTCCCAACCCAACCACTGCTCAAGCCTTTCTCACATACAGGTACTGTCCTCAATGAGGGAGCTAACAGGCTAGGAGTAATGCTAGGGACCCATGTCCTCCAAATCCCTCATTCCCCAGTTCACCTGCATAATACCAAGGACCAAACTTGCCAGGATAGCCCTGACAGCTATAGCTGGAGTTTTGGTCTCTATACCTTCAGTGTGTTAGGGGTAATAATGTAACCATCCTCCTCAGGAATGTTCAGCCCCGGTGGGCAAGGCAGAGTGAAGTCATCATGCAGGTACTTTCCACTCATGGCACTTTCTAACAGACTGAAGGAAAGAAAAGACAAAGACATGCTATCAACATGGTACCTATACCATCTGCCCTCTATCTTGTAGCTGAAGAGGGAGGGAAGTCCCAGAGCAGGGAGTGCAGAAGTACCCTGGGTTCCTGGCCCATGACTCTTGTCATTCATTGGTCTAAGCTGAAGCACAGTTGGGGTTCAGAAGATTGGGCTCCCTCGGTGGCACCTCTTCCCCAGCCCTTAGGAGCGGTCTCCCCCTCTCTCCTCTGATGGATGCAGTTATACCTACCTTTGTCTGTCCTTGATGTCTACTGGACTCCACATAGAGCCATACAGGGTCAGCTGCCACTGCCGGAGGATGCCCACTTGGAGCGGTTCATCTCCTAGGGCAGTAAGTGGGTAGTCATGAGCTGTGTACTGTTGGCCATGCAGAACAGCAGAGCCTGGCCCACCCATCCGCCCAAGGGGATTCAGACCACACAGTCTGCCACAGTTTGTGTCCCATAGACCCCCTCATAGGGCACCCTAGGGACAGAAGAGAAAGGTTGAAGGCATACGGAAAGCAGTGTTTTGCATTTGCTTTCTATAATCTGGGGTTTTATCTGGGATTTTCCTTCAAAGGAAAAAAGTCCTTCTATTAAATTAAAGGTTCAAAAGCTGCCAGTCAAGTGGCTACCTAACCTGACTGGAACCAGCTGGGAAGGCGGGGTTCCATTTCCAGTCTCCATGCTGATACTGTAGATAGTCGGTTTTCTTGCTATGGTAACTCTCACTGCTACCATGATCTTATACAAGTCACTTCAAACCTAAGGACCTCAGTTTTTCTAAAAAAGCAAAATGGTGAAAATTTGTCCTGCCCTTACCTGCCTATCAGGGCTGGCCGAAGGATGGTTATATGTGAAAGGGCTTGAAATGTGGTTTCAACAAGGAATATTTGTTGCTATCCTGAGGAAAAATGCATCAGTCACTTCTCCAAGGAATATAGAGGCAGTATAAATGAGCATTTAGGGACATACATGAGGCATTTAGGGACAATGCCTACTTTTAGGATAGGACATACTTCTTGGCATGTGCCATCTTCACCAACAGCAACCCTACCTATATTACCCATGGAACACTTCCTGTGGGGAGTGTGAAACTCAAGGGGGACATGGTAGTGTAAGACAGGAAGGCTCACCTACATCCCTGATGGCCAGTCTGTAGATGCCTCTTGCTCTTTCCCCCCAACAGCGCACAGTGGAAAAGGTCCAGTCATTGAAGCCATTAGGATCCCTGGGAAAGAGCAAAGCACAACACATGGATGGCTTGGCACAGTTAATCTTACCCCAGAACAGAAACACATTAGGAACTAACTGTAAGCATTTGGGAGGGTGCCATGAGAAGCCCGTAAGTGCCACCCTGTTCTTGGGATCTTGGGGTATAAGGAACTTATTTCCTTGTGTGTAGTAAAGGACAACATGGACAAAGTACGGGCCTGGAAATCCACAGATCTTAGTTTCTTTTAGACAAGTCTTGCTATAAAGTCCTAGCTGCTCTTGAACTCTTTCCTCTTCCACCTTTACAACTTGAGTGTTGGGTTATGGTATATGCTGCTCCTTTTTTTGCCTTGCTAGCCCTCGAGGCTTGCATGCTGAACTAATGTTTACAAGTGAGCCATACCTTCAGCTGTTCGCTTTTGAAACCGGGTCTTTCTAGACAGCCCAAGCTGGTGTCAAATTCATGATCCTCCTATCTTATCACTCTCCCCAGTGCTACAACTACAGCCATACTACTACACTTATCTTTCCAAAGGACTAGAGGAACCCATGCAGGCATATAATGCAAGTATGTTATAAACACTTGAATAAAGCATGGCCCATGGTATCCAGCTGCTAAGGACACCCGTGGTGCAGTGTCTTAGGATAGTGCTAGCATCCTCTTAAGAAAGCCCTTATTATAAAGAAAACTCAGAAGGCTATGGGCAGGTGTACATACGAGTCAAGGCTGCGGGGCGCGCCGATCAAAGACATCATGCCACTGGGACAAAACAGTTTCAGTTCTAAGCTGCCACGTCGTGGGTGCGTGATGGAGACTGTCACTGCCACATGTTCCAGGGTCTTCAGCCCCGACATCTCCAGGTCCATCCTGCTGACTGTAGGAAGTCAGGCTTGGCAGCTGGGAAACCAGCCCATAAGCACTTCCGTCCTCCTTTCATCCCACCATATACAAAGGCATGCATGCACTGAAGCCACATCTAAACATCTTTGGTACAATGCAGACTAGCAAATAGAATGCAGTGATGCAGTCAAGTTCCCATCTAGCTTCAGGTCTAGCTAGGGAGACAACACAGCCAAGATGATATAAGTGCCCCATCATTCATCCATCTAAAACCCATCCACCACACACCTCTCACATTGCAGGTACAGCATGAGATGTAGGAAATACAAAGAGAACTGCATAAAGTCCCTGCCTTTGTCTGCAAACAGAAAAATGATATGCATAATTGATACAGGGCATATTAGATGAGGTGAGGCACACAGCAGTGAGACATGCTGAATAAGGAAATCAACGCAGACCAGCAGAGGACATTCTAGAAGGGGAAATGGCAAATCAGGCAGTGGTGGTTTACGCCTTTAATCCCAGCACTCTGGAGGCAGAGGCAGGCGGATCTCTGAGTTTAAGGCCATCCTGGTCTACAAGTGCTAGTTCTAGGATAGGCTCCAAAGCTATAGAAAAACCCTGTCTCAAAAAACAAAAATAGGCCGGGCGATAGTGGCGCACGCCTTTAGTCCCAGCACTCGGGAGGCAGAGGCAGGCGGATCTCTGTGAGTTCGAGACCAGCCTGGTCTACAGAGCTAGTGCCAGGACAGGCTCCAAAGCCACAGAGAAACCCTGTCTCAAAAAAACAAAACAAAACAAAAACCAAAAAAAAAAAAAAATAAACAAACAAATAAATGAGAAAGAAACCCTGTCTCGAAAAACCAAAGAAAAAGAAGGGAAGTGGCACTAAAGAGATAGAGGTAAACAAACAATTCTCAAGTATGGAAGACAAAACAACATTAATTTACAACGCTACTAGACTGGATAGCTTCAAAGAAGTCATGCAGAATGAAAAAGCTAATCTTGCTGGGCAGTAGTGGCGCACGCCTTTAATTCCAGCACTTGGGAAGCAGAGGCAGGCGGATCTCTGTGAGTTCGAGACCAGCCTAGTCTACAGAACAAGTTCCAGGACAGGCTCCAAAGCTACACAGAGCAACCCTGACTCAAAAAACCGAAAAAAAGAAAAAACTAATCTCAAAAGAATTTATACTGCATAATTACACTTCTGTAACTCTAAGTAGCACACCCACAGAGATAGAGAACAGATGTTCTCAGGTGTCAGGGATGGGAAAGGGGTTCATGCGGCCATAAAGAGGTAACACAAAGGAGTTCCCGTGACAGCACACTTCAGATCCTAACTGTGGCAGTGGTTACAAAAGTAAACACACGATCAATCTCTCTCATACACACAGAGGCTGAATGCATGCAAAACTAGTAAGACCGGTCATGTTCTATGGATTGTTCCAATATCAGGTTCTTGGCTCTGATATTATAATTATATGACATTTACCTTGGAGAAAGGTATATGAGATTTACATGCTCATTGTTTTGCAACTTTCTACAAATCTATGAGTACTGTAACTAAAAAACTGGGAGGCTCAACTGGTGACTAAGAGATCTGACTGCAGTGAGATATAATTCTTCCTAACATGCAGGACAAAGAGTGGCACCTTAATTTTACAGACAAGGAAGACAGAGAGAGAGAAGTATGGGGAAGCTGAGATGAGGAGGGATTTACATTTCTTTTTGTTTGTTTTTTCAGACAGAGTTTCTCTGTGTAGCCTTTGCTGTCCTGAAACTTGCTCTGTAGACCAGGCTGGCCTCGAATTTAGAGATCTGCCTGCCTCTGCCTCCTGAGTGCTGGGATTAAAGGCGTGCGCCACCACTCCTGGCTGAGTGTCATTTCTGGTTCACCACTAAGAAACTGGTGTCTATAGGAACCACCAAGGTCATAACTTACTTTTCTCCATTCCAAGTCACCCAGCTACTACTAAAGCATGCCCCAAGCAGGTTAACTTCAGCATGGTTTAGTAACTGTCATTATGGGCGTGCTTATTACATAACAAATAAACATTAGTCAAAGGTATGTTAGAAAAGGGATGAACAAAGTAAAAATGAAAGGCGCCCATACTGGAAAGCACTGGTTACTACCCATCTTGCCTCTGGGTACATAAATTCATCTGTCCTACCATGTCTGAAAGTGGTCCTTCCATTCCTGTTTCCTGGTTCTCTAATATCCTACGGCTTTTTATACCAACACTCTGTTTACATCTCTAGTTCCCTTTGCTTTCTTGTCCTTTTCATAAAACTTAGGCAAGAGTTGCCGGGCGGTGGTGGCGCAAGCCTTTAATCCCAGCACTCGGAGGCAGAGGCAGGCGGATCTCTGTGAGTTCGAGGCCAGCCTGGTCTACAAGAGCTAGTTCCAGGACAGGAACCAAAAAACTACGGAGAAACCGTCTCAAAAAAAATTCAAAAAAAACAAAAAAAAAAAAACAAAAAAAACAAACTTAGGCAAGAGTCAAAACACCAGCCCAGTTATTCACCTCCTGTGTCTTTCCTCCCACAACAAAAACGAACCGTGCATGAGCCCTTTTGCCACTCTTCACTTCCCTTTGCCTACTAGTCAAAAGCATGGGCTCAGGGGCTGGAGAGATGGCTCAGTGGTCCAGAGAGCTGGGTTCAATTCTCAGCACTTACAGAGCTGCTAACAACTATCTACAACTCCAATCCCAGGGGATTAAGTGCACTCTTCTGGCATCCAAGGGCACCAGGCACACGAGGGCACAGATATATAAAAACCGACAAAACAAACAACCAGTTGTAGCCACCTACTGGGCTCAAATCCCAGCTGTCACTTCCTAGCACTGAAAACTGAGTTATCTACTTTATCTATATACTCAGGCTAGTAACAGGACCTGGCCCTAGGGTTATTAGTATAGCTCAAGTGAACAGAACAGGACCTAACAAATATCCTTCCTAATCATCCTCTGCATCTTTCTATCAGAAAGCACAGCATGTATTTTCCTTTTGAGGTAATTGGGTTTGGACCCGAGGCCTGTTGTATGCTAAGTGCTCCACCAAAGCTTTATTCTAAGCCCTTTTCTATTGTTCAAGATGGCACCCAATCTCATTAAGATGGTTGTGAGCCACCATGTGGTTGCTGGGAATTAAACTCAAGACTCTGGAAGAGCAGCCAGGGCTCTAACTTCTGAGCCCTCTCTCCAGCCCCTAATGCTTGACTTTCAGCATTAAAAAAAAAAAAAAAAAGATTTAAAGGTTTTAAAGAGTTAAACTATGCCAGGTATGGTATCACAAGCTTTTATTCCCAGGACTTGGGAGGCAGAGGCAGGTGGATGTCTGAGTCTGTAGCCAGTCTGGTCTATAGAACAAGTTCCAGGACAGTCAAGGCTATACACAGAAACCCTGTCTTAAAAAAAGAAAAATAAGTTTATTGTATGTATGAGTATTTGCCTATAGGTATGTGCACCATATGTATGCCTGGTGCCCATGAAGGCCAAAAGGGGGCACCAGATCCCTTATCTTGAAGTTACAGACTGTTGTGAGCTGCCACATGGGATCTGGGAACCAAATCTGAGTTTTTTCAAGGACAGCCATTGCTCTTGAAACTACTGAGCTATTTCTCCAACCCCTATTTTATTAATTTTAAATTATGTACACATGTTTGTATGTTGGTATATGAATTTAAGTGCCCATGAGTTACAGGAAGCTGTTAAGATGCCTAACATGGGTTCTGGGAATCAAACTCAGGCCCTCTGCAAAAGCAGTACCTGCTCTTAACCACAGAGCCATCTCTTCAGCTACTACAGCTGTTAAGTTGCCCAGGGAGGTTGGCTTTGAATATACTATGTAACCCATAGGCAATAACTTATATTCTTGGCCTCAGCCTTCTGGGATCATACCACCAAGGTCAGCTGCACACAGTTTTAAATGTCCTTTGATTTTAGAGTATTTGTCACAACAAAGAACAATTCCTTATACATTTTCACAATGAATGAATATTTTAAATTAGCTTTTTTTTGGTTTTTCGAGACAGGGTTTCTCTATAGCTTTGGAGCCTGTCCTGTAACTAGCTCTTATAGACCAGGCTGGCCTCAAACTCACGGAGATCTGCCTGCCTTTGCCTCCCGAGTGCTGAGATTAAAGGCGTGCACCACTACCGCCCAGCAATATTTTAAATTATCAACATATGGCCAATAGACCTGTTTCCTGAATGACTTCCATTTCTTCTACTTCCTGAGATTCCCCAGGCAGGGATCATCATTTCACCAGTAAGGATTTCTGTATGTATGTGTAAAATGAGGCCTGGGCAATATTCCAGTTTTTCCTTAACACCCTTACTCCAGACATTGGGGGCCACCCATTTCAAAGACCCTGCAGACTTCAAGATAAAGTAAGGTGAAAGCTGAGTGGTGGTGGTGCACACCTTTAAACCTAGCATATGGGAGGCAGAGGCAGGCACATGTCTGAGTTCAAAGCCAGCCTAGTCTACAAAGTGAGTTCCAGGACAGTCAGGGCTACTCAAAGAACACTGCCTCAAAAATAAATAAATAAATAAATAAATAAATAAGTAAGTAAGTAAGTAAGTAAGTAAGTAAATAAATAAATAAATAAAGTATAGGAGCTAAACCATGGCACATGCAGCACCACCTGACACTCTAGTTCTAGGTCTTCTTTTTCCCTATAGCCCGTGTTCCAGCCATCCTGACCTCCCTGAAGACACCCTTGACCACATTGCTCCTGCTGCTTTGGTGTCTCTATTCTCACCCTTTCTTCTGGCTAGCATATTGGCAAAACTCACGTCAGTGAGCAGTTTCCTTGAGCCTTCCTGTCTTCCCTAGTAGCAGATGGGGTGTCTCTGCTGAGCTCTCAAAGCCCCTACATTGAGTCTATCAAATGACATGGTACTATTTCTATGCCTGCAGGAGGGAGTAGACTTGTCTTATTGCTGAATCTCTAGAACATAGATAGTGCCAGGTACAAAGCAGATCCCAGGGATTTGAGAGAATCAGTCATGAGACTCCACTGAAGAAAAAAAAATAACTGCGAGGGAAAAGCAGGAGAAGACCTTGGGAGCAGTGACGTATAGAGGGACTAAAAACTCTAGAACTACTAGGCCAGGACCTAGGATGTGGTAACAGCACTGATAAAAGCAGAAGAGTCTTGGGCAGTAGGCTAGGCTTTAAGAGGTGACAGTGGAGTTAAGATGGTACATGTTAATGCATTAGATTGGTAAAAAGGTAGCAGCACACTGTGACTTGGGAATCTACAGACTGTACAGGTGGAGGACAGCCCCGAAGTGGTGGGTGGCTATGGAGTATCACAGAGCAGAACTTCAAAAGGAGTTCAATTTAATCCCAGCACTCGGGAGGCAGAGGCAGGCGGATCTCTGTGAGTTCGAGACCAGCCTGGTCTACAAGAGCTAGTTCTAGGACAGGCTCCAAAACCACAGAGAAACCCTGTTTCGAAAAACCAAAAAA